CTACACAATAATGCATGATTTACGTCACATGCATATTAATGTTACAAAAATAAATTTCGTCAGAAAGAAATAAACCAACAAATCCATCTTTAATAAGAAAAGATCATTTTTCCGTGGCTAATTTTACATCTCCAACCAACTGGCAATATTGCGTGACGATCAAACATTGCCATTGTTGATAGCTGTGTTAGTTAAATAAGATCGATCTATCGAATAAAATGTAAAAATGAATTAAGGTGTTTATTTGCTTGTCGTTAACAAAGATAAACAAATGAATCCTGTTTTTATGGTTTGACTTTAGTTAGACAGCCAATGCAAACAGGAGAACATTGGACGGCTGTTAGGAATTTCTCTGTACTGACAAACTTGAAACTACACTGATCACCATAACCCCCGTCTACACGAACAGTCGTCATGTGTTTACTAGCAACTGGTTTTGAGGAGTAATTTCCAGGGTTCTAGTAAGAAGACGTCGAGTTTAATCATATCAGGAATGAAACAAATCTCACCAAAAGTAATAGGTAATGGTTGGATGGTATCGCGAACCGACTCTCTTTAGAAATCATTGGATGTCGTTTCACCAATCAGAAAATCAAATATTAATTGTGAGGTATGAACTTTCCGAGTTAGATTCCTTGACTGGTCATGGGTGAGCATAACTGAGGAATCCGATTGTTAAGTTGGGTTCTCATTCTCTGCCCATGAACTTATATTTGTGTATTATTTTATACTACTTAATAATATTCAGTAAATAGTAGCATTCCTGACAATTTCTAAGCTTACGTTGTTTATTGGTCGTGTAATATTCTGAAGTATTTTATATATATTTATAGCGTTTGTTGTATTTATTATCATTATTTTATGTCAACACATGTAACGACTACTAATAATTTTTTATAGTCTATGAGTCTTTTTTAAAGCACAACGGTTTCATATTTAGACCACTTTTGTATTGCGCAAGCCGGTGGCTATCTGGACTCAGTAGCCAAATGGAAAACATGATGATGTTTGAAGCGAACGGTACTGGGCTCGAGTTCCGATGCAAAAACATCCAGCTGATTTCCAAGTAGGGTGAAACGCACGTCGTAAATTCTTCTACTAGTCACCATCCATCTCTGGTTTCCATATTTGTTTGCTTTTGGTTAGACAGACATCAGCTGTCATTTGCACGATCATATGTCATAAATGTTCTTTATATATGAATTCAGGGAGCCTTTCTTTCTTTCAAACTTACAGACACGCTAGACTATACAGACACCTTAAAATTTGAAGTTTGTTAAATAATTTATCTCTATTCCTCAATAAATTACCGCATTTTAGATAAATCGTTGTTTTATGAACTTCGGTTTCGCCCGCATCTCACTGGTGTGATTAGACGCTTCGGTAGATTTAACACTTTTACTGGGACGAAATGCCTGTTCAGTGCCTTCGCATTTTTCAACTGAAGTCAATCCACAATGTAGAACTACAAACTCAAATATTTCTACGATCTCCCACTCTGTTGGTGGTCAATAATGTAGTGAGTCACTAAAGTGAACTGGCCATTCTTTCTATATTTTGTTGGCTATATTTAGAGGATTAATTACGGTGAATGAAACGGTAGTTAAAAGAATTAAGGAGATCAACTGATTTAAATTATTACTAGGATATTTGTTTACATTCAAAACGTTTATTCACTATACGAAACTTTAGTTATTTTAGGTGATAAGTTTACATTTTTACCTATTTCAAGTTCTCTTGAATGATTAGCTGAAATATTGAGAAATGTATATTTTCTTGTCTGTTTGGTGATCGAATAATTGTTGATTTCCTTCCATGTTTGAATTGTATACTGATAAGTCGATCTAGTTGTCCTATCCGGTTAATGTGATTTATACTGTTCCATAAATTCTAGTAAGCGACTCTGACGAAAGGCAGATTAACAAAGTTTGGATATTTTCAGTTTGCAGTTGTAGTGATTGTTCAATTTCATTTACGTCATGAACCGATCAATGTTAGGCCGTCCATTGCTCCAAGGTTTTTAATGATGGTCTAGCATTGATCGGTTCATGATATCAATGAGACTTCAGTTAATTATGAATTGTAAAATAGTAGTAAATGGTAGTCATTCCGGATCAGATCACTCTTAGACATTTCTAAATAACTTGGGCTTAATCGATATTCATTCAGATTTACTATAAAGATTTACATTTACGATTAATAATAAAGCTGGTTATTCAGCTATAAATGAAGACTAGATGAACAATAATGAATATTACTGATAAATAGGTATATTTACTAAGGTTCGAATAAATCGAACATAAGGTAGATTGTTATAAATAAATTAATATATTTGTAATATTTCAATGAGTAGAAAAATGAGATTTTTTGACGTTTCGTGACTTGGTGTAAGCCACTTCTTTAGAGAATAAATAACCAAACCAAAATCAATTTAAGTTTAAATAGTACAACTGAACAAAACGAATATTATAATTTTGAGGATTTATTTACCACTACAGGCCATTTAACGTTCAATAACCAGAAACTAGTTCGTAGTGCTAATTGACTCCTATAGTTCCATCATACTTTCTTGTCATTTCAACACCAAGAAAGAGAATACTTTGCTTGTTTTTAACTTCTAATGTGAAATTTATTGATGGATAACAGTTATGAATGTCTGTGGAAGATGCTTCAAATCATATTTATTTTTACAAACAATATAAACATCATCCATGTACTTTTCATACAGGTGTAAGCTGTCAAAAGTTGTTTTAAGTTGATTGTTTTCCAGACTGGCCGTGAAACAATCAGCTAGTAATGAACCAAGTCGAGATCCCATTGCTATGCCATCCGTTTATATATAAATTACGTCCTTTTATGAAAATCGTACACTAAAAGTGCATTGTACTAGTAATTCTTTTAAACAGGATTTTGGCAGTCCGATATTAATTCCATTATCATCTATGTATTTGCAGATAAAGCTAATGGTCTCTGTAAATGGGACATTAGTGAATAGTGATTCGACATCAAATGGAAGGATAATTTTTGCTACCTACATTCACTTCTTTTATGTGATCATTGAGTTTAAAAGTGTCATGTAGAGAGTGCATACAAAGACGTTTTCTTGCGGTTTTCAGGAGATCTCCCAGCCGCTTTTCTATAGAGTGATAAGCAGATCCGGACATATCAAGAACTGGTCGGAGAGACAAACCAAGTTTGTGTACTTTAGATAGACTATATAGTCGTGGTATTAATGGTCCTGTTGGTTTTATGTGCTCGTACATACATCTTCGTTAATTACAGGATCATTATTCATTCTCTTAAGAATTTCATTTAGTTCGGTCTTGTTTTTCTCAACCTTATCAAATATGCAGCTTGATTAGTCGCATAACATTCTGACCTGATATCTTTGTCTTAAATGTTTGTCTCTTCTTTGTTTGGGTGTTTCAGAATGTCCTGGATGTAGTTCAGCTGGTATCGAATAACTTATATCTCGTTTTAGTTGACAATTAGGTGATTTCACCACTAAGTGTTTGGAAAATAAAAGTATCTCATCAAGATCCATGAAAGTCTAACGATGAAAACAGTTTACGAATTTGACGTATGAGAGATAATTATTTATTTAACCAATATGAATGTAGGGAAAAATAAATGCAAAGGGGTCATAATAGTAAATGATTAAAAAGAATAAAAGATCAGAAAAAGGTATCAAGAACTAATTACTGAGTATAAAGTATTGTATTAAGAGTATAAGATAACAGTAAAATGAAAGATTTCTCGTACAGCGTTTTTACGTAGAGTTCAGGTTTGAACAGCTCAATAGCTAAACCCTCTTTAGTTCACAACTGTTTTATTTGTACTCATTTCGATCCCAACTCTTTGACCGTATATATTGTTTAAAAGGATAAATCTGCTGTGACAGCTTGGGTAGGACTGAAGACATGTTTCGAAATTTAGCTGTCGATTGTTTTGGATTCTCTTTATGAAAGCTTTGGACAGTAATGCTCAGAGATAAGTTTAGAAATCCATCGCTTAGTAGGGCTGATGTAATCTGCTCCAGAAGGAGCAATAAACTGATAGATCTACATTGGTTTGATCCAAAACAGCACTTGATCTGAAACTTTGAAAGTAATTTAGTCTTTGTTAACATACACTCATTGACTGAGCAAATTTTAGTCCTTAATATCAGCAACTGAATAATACAAATCCTTATGAATAAGTGTTCCATATGGTGAATACGTTCGTGACTTTCTGGACTCAGCAGTTTAGTGGATAATGAGTTGGTGTTCGGTACTGGAACAAGGTCTCAATATGCACATTAAATGTGGGATGCAGGTACATCCAACTAACGGGTCCCAGATATGGTGAGACGCAAGCTCTGAGTTGCAATGTCAGCCACAACACAAATATACTGGAAACTTTCAACTAAATTTCAGTACTGATACATCAACTCGGGATGTGCATATGCCGACAAATACTGGTCAAACTTTAATCTTCAACATTGTAAACTGGATAATATAAAATCCTTACGAATAGATCAAACAATAAACTGTGAATTCCGTCCAAGTGATTGCCTGTTTTTGATTCTTTATGCAGTCGGACATTGATTAGTTAAGCTCCTTAGGAATTAAGTTATTGATTAGCCAAGTTTGATTGTGGTAATATTCTCCGACAGTTTCGGTACTGGACCGACAACTACCTTCACAACTAATAACATTACACTCCACATTAAAGTTTTATTCGTGTCAGGGTGATGTTTTCCCTAAGCTACCGTGTGAAAACGAGAGGAAGTAAGTGGATTTTAGGTATCAATCGTTGGAAAGTGGACAATATTGTTGAGGAGGTGCACCAACCTCATTGTACAAAACTGATACATTTGTTATCCTCTATTCTTAACCTCACGTAACTCTTAACGGTAATTTCGAAATAACACATGAAGAATAAATGTTTATATAATAGAATTATAAACTTGACCAAACATTTCGTTTTTACTTACCAACAAATATTTTTTATGACTTCAGGAAATGAACTTTTTGGTGAAATGAAAAACCGACTAAAATTAAGATCAACTGGACATTCAGATACTAAAGAATCGCCTTCAGAAATGTTGACGAACAATGCAGTTGAACAGCAGGAACCATCTTCATATGACAATACTTCTTCTAGCATGTCAGCGAACTCCAGTCCCAGATCATCAATATATGATGACTTTGAACAATCTGAGTCGAAAACAGTATCAGATATTTTATTGGTGAGCTGTTTATTATCTATTGGTGACTTACAAGTTTCCACTTGTAATCCTAAACTATGTAAACTTCCATTACGTAACCATTTCTCACTTAACTTTCTGTCGAGAAAGTTTTTCTGATCTTTTGGAGAATTCAAAGTACATGAATCATCGATCGTACACTACGGTATCAATTTCTACTAAATAATTAAAGAAACTGTTTCCAGATTGAGGTTTATAAATGGATAAATATATATAAATAATGGGGATAAAAGTGTGGGATCTACAAGTGGGAAGTATAGTGTTTCACGTATCTTATATGACACCCAGTATTATCTAACATCATGTTAGGGTTTTTTCTTTATGTTAACAGACAGACATCATTTTCAATGGAAATAGCATTAGGACAATAATAGTATATTTTATGAGTGCGCAAAGACGCTACGATTTTGTTTTCGTTATAGGGACCTTGTCTGAGTTTTGAGTAGGTCGATGGATATAGTGTGATAGTTCTTGTGTAACGAACTGATATCAAATTTGTTCATCTTTTGATTACTGTATTTCCGCATAACCTGCAGTTTTAATTTATCACACACAGAGGAGGTTTTTCACTGTTATACAAATAATAATTAAGTATAAGAGGCAGAATATGAGTGTAAGCAACCAGTCTTAACACAAAGTCATGACATGACGAATCCGACCGTATTGAATAAGACTTACACATGACTATTTGCTGTTACACAAAAGATTAACTATTCACCTGTCCTTTTTATCGGCGTTTTCCTATTCTTATCTATCAGTAATCAATGCGGACTTTACATAAGTATATTAACAAACAACTCAGCGACATATCGAGTCCCTAAGTTCGTCAGTTGCCGCATTTGAAGTTCATCACAATTTTATGCGAATTTCGATTTCGGTCGTGTAAGAAATTTATATTCTACACTTTTCAGTAAGCTAAATAAAATAATAACTTTATTATTGCATAGTGAATAATTGATTTTTCACTACCTACTCATCAAAAGAAGAATTTCAGCAACGTCTGTTGTCAACAGGAAGAACAGAGTTTTCAAGATGAATCGACTTTTTGGTAGTCCTATTCGTAAGTCTATTTAAGCTATACCACCATTGGAAACACTGGACGGCCGTTTCGTCATAGTACGGGACTCTCCAGCAGTGTGCCTCCACAATCCCAACCACGAGACTCGAGCCCAGGACCTCCAGTCTCGCGCGAAAATGTTCAACCTCTAGACCATTGAGTCGGCACCCGACAGTGTTAATGTCTAACTTCGATCAATTCATGATGTTGTGCACACTTCATCCATTGTCTAAGGCGGATAAATGTCTCCACTTGACACGGATTGGACTCCACTGCTGAGAAGTCCTATATTAGAATGAAATGGCCGTTCAATGCTTCCAGGTTTTCACTGGCAGTTTAGCTTAGATCAACTCATGAATTCAACTATTAAAATTACTACAATCTTCAGAAATCCCCACTCAGATAAGAAACGATTTTTGTCCGATGTGTTTTGCTATTTAATAGTGATTCATGAAGTTTGACGTTTTTAAATAGTTGGCAGCTGGAATTATCTTCTTATACTTAACAAAGCAACAAGGAAACTAGATAAAATAACCTCTTTCTGCTGTCTCTTGTACAATGTCGCTCTTCAGTAGGAAATTTATACTGGAAAGTACCCATAACAAATCAGCGACCAATCTTCATCTGTGAAATCCTTATCCTTTATTTGGTCTATATTTGTTAAGGGAAGGAATGGTGTGAAACTCAATTTATGTCATTTATTTCCTTCAGTTGGTTTCTTTTTCAAATTTTATTCAAGCCAAAACAACAAGTGAATTTATCTTATTTCATGGTTTCTCATCAGCTGCTTAGAGCCGTATTCGTATTGAAGTGTAACATTGAGGTATGACAATAATATAGGGTGAAAGACATCAGTAACGTAAATAATTGGAATAATAAAGATTAACAGTGATAACTATATATAAGTAAAAAGGTGAATGCGAGGTCATTTGAAGATCGAATTAGAAAACACATAGGATAAGGGAGTAATCATACAGAGTCTATAGACTGGTAAGATGGATTGTATCATAATTTTACAAAATTTGAAGAGGTACATAAGTTTTAGATCACTAGAAGACAGAGCAATGTGATGGTAATTGCCTAGGATTTGAAATTCGTAAAATAGGTTACATTCAATAGCTTTATTTTAAAATCTTGACATATTAAATGAATAATAATTAGATTTGCTTGCACTATAGAAACCGGCATGCACATCCTGGTAATTTCGAATATCTTAGGAAATAACCATTTGAAGATACAGTCCAAAATGATGTGGAATAAAGTTCGAAATATTTATGTGGATAATCGTTCCGATTTTACGTACTGTTCCACACATGTAAGCTATTTATTTCAATATCGTAATGAATTATCAAACGTTCTATTCAACTACTAGTTAAAGAAATCTAAGTGTCTGATTGCAAATAACTACACTTATATCAAACAAGACAGCCATTATTTAAATAGAATATTATTTACTACTCAATAAGAGAAGTTTTGCAATGTTATGAACGTGTCTGTCTTATAGGGTATATTTAGACTATAATCTGATTTTCACATAAATCTATAATTAACTTGATTCATTTGAGTGACAGGGAAGTTAAAAATTCTTCCTGTTATTGATTTTCTTTCTCAGTTTAAAAGAAATTATGCATGTGGCAAATTTACTTTGTTCACAATAGAAAAAATACCTATGTTACGAGAGGAACTTAACTGCACTTTAGCACGAGACCAGCGAATGAATCAATTTATTTATGTCAATATTGGATTACGTATATTTCAATGTAAGTAATTTATTGGTTGTGAACTACACAATGGGGAATTTAATCAATTAACCAATAGAAAAACTGGTTATGAATCGTGAATTACAGGTGCATTAAAAAAAGAGAATACTATTATTTCAACGTTCTACAACTACTTCATTTTCTTTAAGACAGTTTGATAAAGTAAACAGGTAAATGGACAGTGCTGAAAGCAAAATAATGAAGATTAAAGTTGTATTTCATGATCTCGAACAAGAACGGGAACAACATTCAGTGGATGATGGAGAAGAAGATGAATACATGGATAACATTGAGCCGTTACGTCAAACTACTCAGAGAAAATCAAATGAATCCTTGCCAACTTTACTACAACGAGCTCAATCAAGTGATTCACCATTTGCTATTGGTAATAAAGAGAAAACGAGCTTGAATAAATTAACATCATCTCGTTCATTGAGTCGTGGAAATGTTAGGAGACCTAGTGAAATTTCAATCAATGATTTTCTGTCTATGCCACCAGTGCTTGAAAGTATAGACGCTCAGCGTAGATCGACATTGTATTCAGATGAAAAACACAATCCTTTAGGCAGACGTGGAAGTACGTCATCTGAAGAAAATATAGAGAAAAGTAAACCAGAAGAATCCAATGATGATGAGTGTGGTGCTGTCGACAATGAATGTGAACATGGATCACACTGAAACCGAAGGGGAAGGAGGAAAAGAAACACTAGGAATTGGAGTATGCAATATCTGTGAGAGTAACTTTATACAAATGGAGCATTTTTATTATATATGCTAACGATTTTTTCTGTTGGTCAAACTAATTTTCATGTTTTTTGACTGATTTCTGTTATTATACTTTGTAATTTTTTAGAGGGTATTTATTTGGTTCAAGGTTAGCTTCAAATAAATTATCTTTGGTATGCACAAAGTCAACAACAGGATAATTTCGTCATAAAAGTGAACTATCTCAAAATCTAGATTTATCGATATTCACGTGAGGGGAACCACCAAACTTCAAGTTTGCGAACGACCTTATCATCTTTGTGTATAGAAAATGCTGTGTTGCGTAGGTAATTTCCAGTTGAGGAGACATCTGTTAATGTTGCTCAGACGAAGATAAAGACATACTTTATCGTTAGCCCTTTACAACTGTGCACACAGTGAGCTCATCTCAGTATCTGGTACCATTTCTTCATATTCGTAGAAACCACTTTACTTTCTGATGAGATAGTCCTGAATATCTCTTCTCCCGATCACTACTATTTTCTTCTTCCTAAGGTTTTTTCGATGTTGTCCAACAGAACTTGTGCTGAAAAATAGTTTCGAAAATGATATAACTAAGATTACTGCTGACTAAACTAACCAGAAAATAATTTTCCGTCTATTGTTTTGGACACTAGTCATTTAAGCTACTTTGGTTTTTATAACTATTGAAGTGTATTAGTAGTAAAATAGTTATAGACAACCTCATACATGCTCTAAAACTCCTTGCAATTAGTGGAAAATTCTAGCACATCAAACATTTACAATTCGAGTTCGAAAGTAAGCACTAGACTCAACAGCTTGCATGCAACTCACTGTTTCCCTTTTGAAGTGTTGATACGATATTCTAATCTGACATTCCATAACCACTCAAATTGGCAATTTTCGGACACATTGTCATAACGAATCATTCACTTAGAGGGTTGTTGAGAGGCAGAGTGAATATTAGTGATCTGCATTGAAATTATCATCATGTATTTATCACGAATAAATTCAAGAGTTAGGTACAGTGCATAGACGTAACTCGAGTCACTAACTGATATATAGATTCCTACTTACTTGCCTAACTGTGACCCTGTTAATCATAAAATATAAGGCTTCTTGAGTTCAATAGCATTTGATGTTGCGGGTCCAGTGATTATTATAATGATAATAATTAATGACGAATGCTATCTTAATGAATAAAACAGTGACGTATATATATTTAGATAATCGGTTCTACCAACAAGGTAAGAGTGAACAGTGGCACCATATGAGTAACCTAGTTAGTAGTAGAATCCATTTTTTTTGTATTGAAACACAAATTAATTTATCGACAAAATTTGTAGTGACACATTATTATTTATCAAATTTAGATAACAGGTTTTTATGAAATTGTTGTATTTTGTTTAATTTAATTCATTCGCTGATCCCAAGGAGCTGGAAATACCAAAAGTATGTAATCCACTGGGAAATTATGGTTTATAATTGCAAATTATCAATAATCTGCATTTCCTTGTATTAGACGATGAACCTGTATATTTATAGCTTGTCGAAAAAACTGCCGGCTAGATAAGTTAATGAAAACTCTTCAAACAATCTCAAAAAATAATATATTAAATTTTTTGTTTCATGATTATCTGTTATAGGATTCCATAATATGATTGGAACTTATAAAAATGTTATTCTTTTTGATAATGGACTATGATACAGCAGTGTCTATGAGGAGGCGTTTCGCGTGATTGAGTAAAATTAAACTTCCTCATCAAAATTGTTTTGGCACACTCATCTATGCAGCGTAATTCGACTGAAAAAAATAAAAACCTATAAAGATGATCTCGGTAATTATTATAAATATACATCCCGAAGGTGAAGTCGAACTGCTGACCGTACAGGGGTGTGACAACAGTAAGATGTTTCCTTCAGACAACCAGCATGATAGTGATGCTGCCTTCCCACAAGGAGGGGTGGGGTTAGAAAAGGTCGACCCTAAAAATGCACACCTAGCCTTATCCCACGGATATCCGTCTCCGGCGGTGAGGTCCCAACAAGTACGAAGCTAACACAAAAGTTACCCATAAAAAGGTCGTGTGGGACCGACCTCAAGCAGCTGTCCCTTGGGCATTGCGGTCAATCTCCCAGGTCACTAAAACCACCTCTAATCCAATTTCCTTTTTAGGTACCTCCAGAAGAACCCTTCCACAGTGTGGGCAATCGCGAAGTAAAAACCGCTTTCATATTTCCAACAGCACTCAAGACCGTTGTATTCATAATCAACCTCCGTCTTCACTACCTATTTTTCCTCCTACATCGACTTTCAACGCTAAACTTCCTTTTTCAGCTTCCCCCTCAAGTGTCACCATAGCCAACGATTCTAGTGCTCAAAACACTGTTCCAGGTCTACTGAATCTTCTTTCCAAACTATACATTTGAGCCTTCAACGTACGCACCCTATGTCAAATCGGTCAATAATCTTCCTTCGCTAGAACCCTAGAATCTCGTACCATTGATGTATGCTGTGTCTCTGAAACACGCACACAAGATCCCAGTGTGGTTATTCACTTGACCTCACCTCGGCAAAACGGAGAGCCAACGAGATACACCCTTCGTGTATCTGGTGACCCGATGGCCAGTTCTCGTGGGCCGGCAGGTGTAGGCGTAGAACTAAGCATGAGGGCGGAACAAGCACTGCTAGAGTGGATCCCCGTCAACAGTCGTTCATCTGCTGTTCGGCTAAACGGCTCCGTAAAAACTCGGGAGGATAGGGACACACGTCGTTGCCTTTTCGTCGTTTCTGCCTACGCTCCCACCGACTGCAGCTCGGATGAAGTGAAAGATGAATTTTACAGAAAGCTTTCTTAACTTCTTCAGAAAGCTAAACGCTCAGACATTGTACTCGTAGGGGGTGACTTTAATGCTCAGATAGGTAGCTTAAACCAAACAGAAAGGCATTTAGGCGGATATTTTAGCATTCCGGCACAGCGAACAGATAATGGTGATCGTCTGCTGCAACTGTGCTCAGACAATCGTTTATTTTTAGCAAGAACAAATTTTAAGCATAACTAGGGAGACATCGTCTAACATGTCGACCCCCTACACCAAAAAAATCAGATCTAGGTAAAGCAAAAGTCTAAGAAACGACCGTGAGGAGTGGTGGGCAACGAAAGCAAAAGAGATGGAGAAGGCGGCGGCTATAGGGAACACAAGACAGCTCTACAGACTAATAAAAGAAACTGGAATTAATAATTCAAGTTTAAGTTAGACTATTTCGGAAAAAGATGACACCCTCATCTACCCCCAGTTCAGGCCCGTTTACGATGATGGGCGTAACAGTTTAGAGGACAGTTCAGCTGGCCTTCAGCTACTCTACAACTACCCTCCACTCCCAGACAGTGTGGATGGAACATTGAAGTAGGTCCCCTAACACTAGCAGAAGTTCAAAGGGCTATAGTTAATCTGAAACGAAGAAGGGCAGATGATCCAGATGGATTGGTGGTCCAATTTTAGCGATTAGGTTGACTAATATTTTAGCTAAGATCTGGGAGTTAGACGTTATTCCATATGACTGGTCATAATCACTTATCGTCCCAATATATAAGAGACGGTTAAAATCATCCTGTGACAACCATAGAGGGATTAGTTTAACTAATATAGTATGGAAAACACTAGCCTCGATAATTATCAAACGCCTAACTAAGACTCGTGAACTGCAAACACGAGAGAATCAAGCTGGCTTCAGACCTGGTCATGGCTGCATCGACCACATATTCACCATTCGTCAGGTTCTAGAACACAGGCATACTTATGGACGTCCGACAATGGTGGTCTTTCTTCACTTAAAAGCAGAATTTGACTCCGTAGACCGCGAGATTCTGTGGCAGTGTCTGTCATTGAAAGGCGTACCTCAGAAGTACATAAACCTTATAAAGGCTCTTTACTCGAACACTACTAGTCCAGTGAGAGTTTATGGCGAACTGTCATCTACATTTGCAACCTCAAGTGGTGTCAGTCAAGGCTGCCCACTTTCTCCATTTCTGTTTAACTTCATCATAGACCTATTGATGGAAATAACATTCTCGTCGACTAAATTCTCGGGTATTGATCTCCTTCCAGGTGGTCCACTTATCGACTTAGAATACGCAGATGACATAATCCTGTTTGGTGAAGACGCTGACAAAATGCAGAGTCTTTTGGTAGCACTAAGCAACAATGCCAGGATGTTTGAAATGCGCTTCGCTCCCTCTAAATGCAAGTTGTTGCTTCAGGACTGGTCTGCGTTAACACCTGAACTTAGGATAAAGAGTGAAGTAGTCGAACGTAATAATAACACAAAGTAATTGTTTACCAGTCAATCAAAACTTATTTGGTCTGGGTACGTCAAAAATGTGTGGAAATGTCTCATTAGTAATTAGCTAATAAGTAAAAAAGAATACAGCCTGTTTATATTGGAAATTGGCATGACTTTCCCTTAATATACATTTTTTTAAATGCCGTAGACAAAACATCAAATATAATACACATTGACATGACATGAAATACTCTAAGGAATTTACGTGAACCGACATGTCTTTGGAGTGTTTTCTAAACATCTGAACTGGGAATTGACTGATGATTTTCTAGAGGTGAAGCCGTGGCTTAGTGATTAAGGCGTTCGATTTCCAGCCGCTAAGTCCCAAGTTCAAATTCTGCTTTGCTTACTTCAGTTTGGGTGGCCTATTAGTATCATTAGCCCTCGTATTTAGAGTGAAAATTTCAATAGAATTTATAAGGTTATAATAATTTTGCTTCGTATAAATAAAGTTTGGGAAGGAAAATTCCAGAACGTTGAATTAGTGATTAGAATTCATGGAGTTAACAAACATTAGACGACTGTGTAATGAAGCAACTGAATGTAGACTAATGGTGATAAAGAACGATATGAATTGAAGGAAAATGACAATGATGTAAATAAACTT